GAAGCCTGTGCTCCACAACGGGAGAGGCCACAGCAGTGAGAGGCCCACGTACCAAAGAAAAATAAAATAAAATAAAATAAATAAAAAAGAGTGGATATATGTATATGTATAACTGACTCCCTGTGCTGTACAGCAGAAACCAACACAACATTATAAATCAACAATACTCCAATAAAAATTAATTTAAAAAAGAGATCTCTCAGGTAGGCTGTACGGGCCTCTGAAAGAGTCTCTCTGAAAATATCTTACCTCCATAACCCTTTAATTTGTCCTTGAAATTCCTACTGTAGTCAGTTTTATGCTGTAGCATTTTATTAATAAGGCCCCTATTAATCTACAGAAACATTGCTCAGAATTGTGATCACATTGTCCCAGTTCATTAATCCAAAGCAGTTTCTTAGATGCCCTGTGGTCAACCAGCAGCCATAAGACAAAAGACTGGGGAAAGCTCTGATGACTGACTCTTTGAAGGGGAGCTTGCCCAGGTGAAACTGTATACAAACAGAAGAATACCCTGGTGCCCCTGGGAGTACAGAGGGTAAGAAAAGAAACAAAAGAAGGGCCTGAGGCCCAGAAAGGAAGGCTGTGGGTAAGGCAGGACAGCATCAAGGATGCTTATTCTGCCTCAGAAGTCTGGCATTATCCCAGCCTAGGGGAAGCTAGGAATAAGACTTTTTCAATCACTGCAAACTCATGTAAAGTAAAATCTTCCACCAGTATTGCAGGTATGCAAGAGTTGATGTCATTAAATTATCTTTTATTTTGAAGTTACTCATTGTAACTTCAAAAGGATGAAGCAAGTGGTACAGGTGAATACAAATTCTTTCAGTCTAACTAAGGGTTGTTGTAGACCACCGTCCACAATGAAACTCCCAGAACATCTTAGGTTTTTTTTGCCCTGGCAGTTTACCCTCATTGACAATTTAAGGTGAATTTAACATGAAATGTTGAACAGGACCAGGTCCATGACAGGTGCTCTGTAAATAACTGTGGAATTGATTTGAGTCAATGAGAGTAAGGGGGCAGTTTGGGGTTGACTTATGAAGCTTCTTTCTGGAATGTACTTAAATGCTAAGTGTATTTCTGTGATGAATTGTTCTCTTCTTCAGGATTTAAAAACCTGCCTCTCGAGGACCAAATTACCCTCATCCAGTATTCTTGGATGTGTCTGTCATCATTTGCCTTGAGCTGGAGATCGTACAAACATACAAACAGCCAATTTCTCTATTTTGCACCAGACCTAGTCTTTAATGAGTAAGTACCTATTAATTAGCCTTCATAAAATAAACCGAAGAGTTATTCGCTATGCTCTTTTATGATTTCTAAACAGATGTACCTTTGTGAAAGAATCCACTGATACGTTTTTTAAGAGTGTAAAAGCTATCGTTTGAGAACTTAAAAATTACTTTTTTACAAAATTATAATGCACATGTCTGAGTATATATAGATCAGTGTATATAGATCTCACATGATAGTATGTGGGAATTGTCCCAAAGAATGATGATCCAGTTGGCTCCCAAAACTTGATTGGTACAAGCCACAATTAATAGAAAACAATCTCTTTTGGTATCTACTCCAGTTGGGAAGACTGTCTAATTTCTAGGAAATGTGAATGTATAAAGTGCCAGTTTTTGAGCACAGTCATATAATGATTCTTTTGTTAATAGTATACATCTGCTCAGTGTGTTTTCATGACAATCATAATTACCTTTCTTTGTGATCATAAGAGAAGCCAAACTGTTATTCTGTAGTGAAACATTTTTAGGTTTATGATGCATTTTAAAAAGATTGAAAGAATAGTACTAGATTTTTCTTTGGCCGTGAATTCCTCCCTATGTGAAGTTTACATTTTAATATTGTTTGCATTCTACATTAGCACATTTCGTGTATGTTTATATCCAGCCATGCTTCTTTGTAATTGTTGGGTCAAGAAATAGATAAATTAAAAAGGAACATTTGAATGATGATAGTAACCACAGCCATATTCTAACAGATGGCTGTCTCTCAAAATATGAAAATAGGGGTTTTTCAATAGGGAAGGAAGCAGATGAGAAATAGATTGGTGATAAAAGAGAGAAAAGGGACATGAAAGATTCAAAGTGGACATGCAGTGCCAAAATACCTGAATTGTACCGGTAGTAGTTGCCCTGAGAGTATCACTTCACCCAAATACGATGGACCTCGGAGGCAGTTTTAGTGCAAGATAAATTAGGAGCATCAGTTTTTGGTTCTTGGGGTTGACCGTTCTTTGGGCAATTAGTCAGAACAAATAATTCTACTAGTGCATAAATTTTCTTCATGCTTCAGAAGCATGAAGTGAGGCCAAACAACTGATAGGCACATTTTAATTTACTTGTTTTCCTGAATAATCAGCTGATATTATTAAATAGTAAGACTGTTTTTAAAAATGGTCTATAAACCAAAAGGAAAACATATTTGGATTCCCTGGTGGTCCACTGGTTAGGACTCTGCACTTCCACTGCCGGGGGCCTGGGTTCGACCCCCTGGTCAGGGAACTGAGAGATCCTTCAAGCTGCTCAGTGTGGCCAAAAATAAATAAATAAATAAATAAAGGAAAGCATATTAAGGAGGTTCTTTGTTTTAAGAGGACATGTGGGTAAATACGAATCTCTATTGGTGCCATCCGGAGTGTCTCCTTTAGATTTTGTTTTAATAGAAGATTCATTTAACCTTATTCAGTGAATCTGTTGATTCTTTGTAATAAAATATGTATAATATAAAATTTTCCACTTTAACCATTTTTAGTGCACAGTCAGCATTAATTGCACTGACATTGTTGCACCACCATCATCACTATCCATCTCCAGTACTTTTGTCATCATCCCAAGCAGAAACTCTGGACCAGTTAAGCAGTAACTCGACATCCACCTTTCCCCCAAAGCCCTGATAACCTCTGGTCTTTGACTTTGCCTATTCTAGATATTTCATATAAATGGAACCATATAATATGTGTCCATTTTTTGTCTGACTTATTTCACTTAGCATAATGTTTTCAAGGTTCCTCTTTATTGTAGCATGTATCATAATTTCATTTCATGGCTGAATAATATTCCATTGTACATATGTATAGAATTGACCTCATTGTTTGCAGATTCTGTAGTTGTGCATTGACCTTCTGGCACATTTATTTGTAACCCCAAAGTCAGTATTTGCAGCACAGAGAGGCCGTAAGTTTGAGGTACACAGCATGTACATTTCAGCTGAGACTCTGCCTTCTTGTTTCAGCTCTCATAGTGTAAACAAGTGTCTTTTCCATGGTCTGTTTCGTGCCATGTTTTTTGCATTGTTGTGCTTTTTGCTGGCGATTTCACTGTTTAAAATGACCCACAAGCAGAGTGCCAGAGTGCTGTCTAGTGTTCCTAAGTGCAAGAAGGCTTTGATGTGCCTTAGGGAAAAAATACAGGTGTTATACATAAGCTTCTTTCAGGCATGAGTGACAGTGCTGTTGGCTGTGAGTTCAATGTTAATGAATCAATAATATATGTTAATAAGGTGTCTTTAAACAGAAATACACATAAAACAAGATTATGTATAGATCAACTGATGAAAATGTTATGATCAGTGTCTACTACAACTTTATGGAATATAATTACCATACTTATTTTTACCAAATAAAGAGAATTGATCACATTTTGTGTATCCATTCACGGATACATGGGTCGTTCCTGCCTTTGGCTATCACGGTTAATGCTGCTATAAACATTTGCATATGATTATCTGTTTGAGTCCTGATTTCATTGCTTTTGGGTATACACCTAGCAGTGGAATTGCTGGGGCATATGGTTATTCTACATGTAACTTTTGAGGAACCACTGAACTGTTTTCCTCAGCAGCTGCACAATTTTACATTCCCACCCTCAGTGTACAAATTAAAAAGAGCAGCAAGAGTTCCAATTTCACCACATCCTTGCTAACACTCATTTTCTGGGTTTTTGGGTTTGTTTTTTTTAATAGCTATACTAGTGGGTATGAAGTATTGGGGAGTTTTTTGGTTTGTTTTTCTTGAAATATATTTGTCGTGTAACATTGTGTAAATTTAAGGTATACAACATGTTATTTGACACATTTATATGTAATATGATTGCCATTGCAGCAGTAGTTAGCACCTCTGTCGCATTACATAATTATCATTTCTTTTTCTGGGTGGGAATAACTAAGATCTTGTCTTTCGGCCAGTTTGTTTATTATAATATGGTATTGCTGTCTGTCTTCACTGTACAGTGCATTAGATCTCCAGGACTTACTTGTCTACTGGTTGCAACTTTGTCCCCTGAAGCAACATCCCTCCTCTTCCCCCATCCCCCGGCAGCCACCATTCTATTCTCTGTTTGCTCAAGCTTGTCTCTTTTAGATTCCACTTATAAGTGATATCATACAGTATTTGTCTTTCTCTGCCTGACTTATCTCATAGTAGGTGTGGAGTACTGTCAGTGTGGCTGTGATGTACACTTCCCTAATGACTACTGATGTTGTGCATCTTTTCATAGACTTTTTGGCCATTTGTGTGTCTTCTTTGGAGAAATATCCGTTCAAGTCCTTTGCCCATTTTTAATTAGGTTGTTTGTCTTTTGTTCCTGAGTTGTAGGAGTTCTTTATGTATTCTGGATGGTAAACTCAGATATAGGATATGTATATTTCTCCCATTCTATGGGTGGTCATTTCACTCTCTTGATAGTGTCCTTTGATGTACTTTTAAAATTAAAGTTTTTAATTCTAATGAAGTTCAGTTCATCTATTTTTTTGTCATTGTTTGCTATGCTTTTGGTGTCATCTATTAATTTTTAATTGTGTGTAAACATCCAAGTGTACAGATTTCAAAGTCCAAAATTGTAAGAATCCTTTTTCACAAATGAAACTTAGGGGGAAGCACCTTATATCTGAAGCCTGTACACCTTCAAAATTAATGTCATTGAAAAAAATTAATTTTGAAAATTGTCATTGAAAATTAATGTCATCGAAGGCTTTTAGAAGTAAATAAGAAACCAAAAAAAAAGAAAAAAAGAAAAGGTCATATAAGCTCTATGCATGTCTATTCTAGAAAATGTTAATAGATATAAAATGGAAACAACAAAAAAATTGCTTTCTAATGTTACAAGTAGTTAAATAGTATGATATTATATAATTGTTACAGTGAACATTTTTTTTTTGCGGTACGCGGGCCTCTCACTGTTGTAGCCTCTCCCGTTGTGGAGCACAGGCTCCGGATACGCAGGCTCAGCGGCCATGGCTCACAGGCCCAGCCACTCCGCGGCATGTGGGATCCTCGTGGACCAGGGCACGAACCGTGTCCCCTGCATCGGCAGGCGGACTCTCAACCACTGTGCCACCAGGGGAGCCCTAGAGTGAGCATTTTGTTCCCTATTCTTAAAACTTTTGACCTCAGCCCCAGCCTAGACTTAAGTTTTCTCTCAACTAGAAAGAACAGGGCAGAGCTGTGTTTTTCAAATGGGGAGGGAGGACCTACTCCCAGGAAACATTTGGAAATGACATAAAGCCTTTTGGTCAAATCCCAAAAATTGCCTGTACCTCAGATCCTTTGCCAAAGGGAAGGAAACTGTCTGGCATTTTGTGCAAGGGAATAATGCATGCTGTTCAGCTGAGGATAGAATGCACTGGTGGAACCCTCCCTTGTTTTCCCACCCACCCTCAACTGTCTTGGACCCCCTCTCACCTGCATTGGCAGATCTTTTTAAGCATCTGTATCCTTCCCTTGTTTGACTGGCACATCCTCCTTGAAATCACAGACTCTGTCTTAATCATTTTTTAATTTCCAGCCCGTGGCATTGTGTCCAGGGCATAGCAGGTACTCCATAAATATTTGGTGAATAAATGAATTATTGAGCAAATGAACCAAACAACCTATTAGTCAGTCTAGAAGGGGTTTTCTAGGTTATCATCGCTAGTTACGAGGGTGAAGCTTATGATCAAGAAGTGTGATGCGGGGAAGCGTTTTCACCAACAGAGACGTTGCTATATTTAAAATGGTGAAGAAAACTTGAATAGTTGATCATGTGTGTTTGCCTTCAACTGTGAAATGGATCTGAAAGTTCCCAAAGATCTTATCCTTCAGCTGTGTACCAGCTTCATTAGAGTTGGAGGAAAGATGCGAAGTACAGAATAATTAAGGAAAACATTCTTTCTAAGTTTTTATTAAACATTGGTGTGAAGATATGAGTTAATACTTTAAATTAGAATAGAACTTTTCTTATTATAAACTTAAAACTTTTCAAATA